GGGGAGTGGTGGAAAAAAGCCCATCTATCTTGCATAGAAGTCAAGATATTAATTTTGCAAGTAAAGGAAGTCAGAGGTAGAATTAGCGAGAAAGTGTTCCAAAGTTTGGAGGCTTCCAAAGTTTGAATGTCTATGGAAACTGCAAGTTTAGTTGTTGTTGTTTTGTTTGTTTTTTGGGGAGTTTTTTGTTCATTTGATCAAAGTGTTTTTAGTAAAAATCCTCTCAGGAAGTGTTTTACAACGGATATTGGAGGCCTTTAGCGGAAAAAAGAAAAAATGAAAAAAAAAAATTGCTCATTGGCAAGAAGAAAAGGCTGATTTCTTTGATTTCTTTATTTTGACGAGCGCCTGATTTCACCGCGATGCCTCACATATTTTGTTTTATTCAAGGTATCTTGTACTTCTTCTATCAGAATTACTTGTTCTTCGATGTCTTTTAGAAATGCTGGCGCCGGACCTACTTCGTCATAGTACAGTCCTGTAAGATATTCTGCCCATCTGTTAAATATACCTCTAGCATCCATCAAGATTTCTCCTCTGTTGGATTTTAAACATACTATTTTGGGTGACTGTTTCTTTCCCGACAGATCTTGAATCTTTTGGTACATCAAGTAAGTTGATCGTTGACATTAATGAAAACAAAATTGGGCGTCTTAAAAATCAAAATTAGTAGCTATATTAAGTGTATGTATGTGTGTATGTGTGTATGTTGATGCGTGTGTGTGTGTGTGTGTGTGCGTGTGTGAGTGTAAGTGTGTGTGTGTGTTTGTGTGTGTGTGTGTATGTGTGTGTGTGTGTGTGTGTGTGTGTGTGTGTGTGTACGCGTGTCTCGGCACGTTGGAATCAGGTGGTCGTCAAATTTGGGGCCTGTGGGGTTATTGTCATTATCAACAGAAAACTCGTTCATTTGTCTTTCTTTTGATTTTAAAAATGATCGATCCGTCTTGAGTAAAAGTCGAGATATTTACGATTGAAGAAGGTGGGGGTTGCCTACTATAAGAGGTAGATTTAGCGAAAAAAATGGCCGCCAAAGTTTGGTGTCTTCCAAAGCTTGAGCGTCCTTGACAACGGCAAACTTGCATGTTTGTTTGTTTGTGGTTTTTTGTGTCTTTCATCAACCTTTTTTTTTTTAAATTACAGTAAATGATATGTGAGACGTGCTGACAAAATGAGTTACTTCTCAGCATCCGCAAATGGAGATATTGGCCAAAAATTGACACTAGGGTCGAATTTGTTGATTTTCCTTTAATGTCATTCTTTAAGTATAGCATGCCTTGTATTATTTCATATTTATACATTGTAAAAACTTCACCCGTAAGCGTGGTGTAGCGATTTCCTTTGGCCTCGAATCAGAGAAGTAACTCATTTTGTCAGCACCCTTCATATATGTTCTTAAATGAACATAAAATCTATTGAAAACAAAAAGACGATAACGACATGTCCAATGCGCAGAAATATGTCTATTTCTTACATTTCGTAATTTTGAGGAACACCTGATTTCATTTTGGTGTTGCACACAATAAAGTACATCAATACATGCAACTTTTTTCAAAACAAAATCAACGCGTAAACAACAATCTTATTTTGGCCATAACATTTATTTCTTTTTAATGTATTACTGCAGGATCCACAGAAATATATCACAACTCGTGAAAACCCTCAATAAAACTCTATCGTGTAGTCAATTTATTTCTCGAGGAAAGGGGGTGGGGGGGGGGGTTATTAGCAGGTGCTAAAACAACGGAGGTGGGTACTCTAGTCTTTGACGTCCCAATCAACCTAGGACGGGCGTAGTGGTGGCATTAACTGGCTGAGCCACGTACGCCTGACACACGGAGTTTGCGCTGAGCGTAGCGTCGTTCACACAAGCGCCCAACAACTGTAGACAGTCGCAGTTGGAGATGAGCAGAGAGTTGTCGCTCTTGCACGTGTCCACGAGAGTTTGCAGATTGCCCGAAATGAAACCGCCCAACGGCATTCTCATGTTGGTGTTGTTCTGGAAACTGGCGTAGGTGACGGGGCATGCGGTGTTGTTGCTTGGTTGCAGAGCGGCCCAACGGCTATCGGCGAATGCCTTGGAAAAGAGGAGTCCCTGCACCCAGCGCTGTTCCCACTCGGCAAGAGTCACGCAGCCGTCTTTGTTGGTGTCGTAGTTGTTTCTGAAGTCGTTGTACATTTCGGGGCCCGCGACAAAACTGTCGTTGTCAGCGTCGTTGATCCCAATGTTGACGGCGAATCTTTGCCCCAGAGTGCCCTTCCCGCTGCACACGGAGGGCGTTGATCGTCCAGTAGCCGGACCAGCTGGGAAGCCTTGACCTTGACCTGGGAATCTGCCGGGGAATCTGCCGAAGAAACCTGGACCTCCAAATCTCCCGGGGAAACCTTGACCTTGACCGCCAAACCTGTTCATCCCGCCAAACATGGGGTTATGGTGAAAGCGTCCCCAGTCACCCCAGGCGCAGCAGCCAGTGAAGGCAAGAGAGAGCAGGAGCAGGGACACAGGGGACATCTGGAGAGAGAGAAAGAGAAAGTACAAGGAATAAAAAGAACATCAGTTATACAATTAATCATCGATGACTAACACTTGCGAACAGGACTAAGTATCACAGAAAGAAATGAAAACCAGGGGAGATAACGAGGGCAGGAGCTTGGGAACCATTAGGAGGAGACAGAGACACCCAAAGACATCGGTGTCAATGACGTGTCAATAAGATTACGACAATGGGCAAGAAACAAATAAAGACACTACAGCCGAGGGAACTATGAGACAGCAGGAGCAGGAACGTAGGAAACATCTCGAGGAAGACAGAGAAATAAAACAAACAAAAACCCAAACCCAAACACAGGCTAGTATACATTACTAGCATCGTTATCTGGGACAAGAAGCAAATCAAGGTGTTTATGCCTAAAAGAAATGTGAGGCAGCGTGGTAGAATCAGGCTCTCGTCAATTTTTGGGCATGTAAAGTTACTGGTATCATCTTAAAGCTTGCTCAATTGACTTTTTTAAATGAAAAAAAATATCCATTTATTTTGAGTACAAGTCGAGATATTTGCGAAAGAAGGAGGTGGAGGTAATTATTTTACCATCTATCAAACTTAAAACAATGAGTCCAAGGCCAGGGCATTTGAATATCAAGGCCCCAAGATCTGGAATGCTTTGCCAAGTGCTTTAAAAGAGGTCAAACCTGTTAATGCATTTTAATGTCAGCTTAAGTTATTTCTGTTTTTTAAGTAATTAAAAACATATCTGGAGAGAGATTTATTATTTTTTTTAAAATTTTGTTTGGGGGGGTCGTATTTTTTTTATTTGGGGGGGGGGGGGGGGGGGC